CCTGGTACCACACAACACAAACATGAATATAAGATACTCTTACATATTTCTGATAATAAAAATGTTAACTTAGTTTTAAAGTGATAATTTCTTCCACGTGCCAAGAACAAAGGCTAAATTTGGGGAAGGCATTTTCAAGTCTGCGTGTTGCTGTGAAGACCAGATGGAGAAGAGGGAGAATAAAATAAATAAAAGACACAATCATATCCAAACCATTAAAACACCATTGTCTCTTTCTCACGGGCTGCCAAGATATGTTCTACTCAAAACATGTTCCAATGGAAAAGAAAAATATTTGTTCATACAAAAGCCTCAAGACAAAAACAAACCAATACATCCCAGAACAAAGCCAATAGTTATTGATTCATGGAAGCCAATAGTTATTTGTGTGTGCGTGTCCAGTGTAAGCTTCTTATTACCCAACCAAAAAGACATTTCCATTAATAAATAGATTACTAAATATTGTGTTATATTATGCTACTTAACAGGGAAAAAATGATGAATGAGAAAGAGGTGTGAGGTAATATTACCTCACGTATACGGAGACGATTTTGTTCATACTCATTACGAATTACCACTTCTACATTTTTATGACGAAATTTTCGAACGTATAGACAATAACGATTAGATAAAAAGGTTGAATAGTAAATAAGTGGGGGGAAAGGTTAAATAAAAAGTAATAATATGATGAGTAAGAAAAACTTATCATACGGTATTTTCTAGATCACTGTCCATCTGTCACGACATTAATGAAGATAAATCAAAATAAATAAGTTATTAAAAAATCAATAAGAGATGTTTAGAGAGAGTTAATCAGATGATAAACTTACACAACCAAAAATAATAACATTATTCATCGGTCGATGATTGTGCAGTTGAAACGGTGGTGACTACACAGTAAATTTACAATGATTAACATCAATTACAATGAAATTTCTTTCAATTAACATGCATTTAATCAAACCTAATACATACACAAAATGACAACCAAAATTAGCCTACAAATTACACAAAATGAACACTCAATAATAACCAACTATAAAAGACATCCAATTAAAAAAAATAACTTATTTCATCATAACTATAACAGCCAAATTAAAAGACACCCAATTAAAAAAAACAACCTAACATTTAAAAAACCATTAAAGCAAGGATGTGTGCAGATCCAATTAAACACCCAATTTAAACGACATTCAAAAATCATTAAAGCAAGGATTCAAAAAGACACCCAAATTAAATACCAAAATTAAACACCCATTTAAAAGACACCCAAATTAAACACCAAAATTTTAAAAAGTAAAATTTAAAACCCCCTTTATACACAAACATTCAAAAACTATTGTGCAGTGTGTGGTTGTGTGCAGATGTGCTGCTCTATGTGTGTGAGAGAGAGATATATAGAGTGAGATATCCCTCAAGAAATATCGAAGAAGCTGTCGGCAGCATAGATAATGGCTGCCTGTGATTAGATTATGACAACTCTATATGTAAAACTTGTAGATTTTGGTTCCACATTGTTGAACAAATGTCATAGGGTGGATAGGATGGAATTGGCTTGCCATGGGTTGCAAGAATTTCATAAAGTTGGTTGCTGTAAGTGATCAACAAAAACTAAGATGGAGTTTCGGTGTTAAACAAAAGGCCAAAAAGCTAGGGGAAAAAGGTTGATGATGATTTGGTTATATTATTTGCTTAATAAGTACCAATGTTATATTATTTGCTTACGAAAAAACAAACTGATCTTGCTTTTTTTGGCCATCAATGTCATATTATTTGCTTACGAAAAAACAAAATAGAAATCAGGAATAAAAAAAGAGTAGAAACCTATCTTGCTTCTATATGGACCTTTGATACATAGCAACTCCTTGAATACCCTAGTCTTGACATTGATACTTTGTCTTTAACCGGATTAAAGAGTGAATTAATCGAAATGTACATAAAGTGGTCAATACACTCCTGATAATTAAACCAAACAAAATAATGGTTTAATTTACGTAGCATGCTCGTCTTGGAACACCCAGAAAAACTAAAGAAAATTAATGGAAAAAGAAGAATAAACTTGTGAAGAAGAACAACTAAGTCTTCCATTCTATTCTCCAAAAAATATTTACATCAAACTACTTAAAAATCAATGCTCTCAATGAAATGTTGAATAGAGATCAAAAATGGAAAAAAAAAAGTAATAATAGAGATCAAAAATGGAAAAAAAATAAAATAAACCCAGTTGAAAAATCTAATATTTTTAGAAGCTTGCATAAATTGAAATCTAAAGGAATAAAATCCCAAGGACCCCAACCATCTCCAGATGAATGCTTAAGATTAACAATAAGGAGGTCTTGAAAAATGTCAAAGAAAAGTGAAAATCAACCAGGAAAGTAATGAACAGTCTGTATTGGAAATACTTCAAATTCATTACCAGGTCAATTAGAAATTCGAGTGTTGATATATACAAAAACCTTTCATAAATGCATTAGAAGTTGCTAGAACTCCTACAAAAAGCCGATACCCAGATGGAAAAAATCCATGGATACACAGAGAAAGCTCTACGAAGTGAGAGATGACTCAGAAATATGATCAAAACAAACAAACAAAAAAAAACGATGGAATAAAAATTATATTGGATAAACCTTGCTAAGGAATGGAATAAAGAAAATCTGAGCAATGAATCACACTTCATGGTGTTCAGTAGAATAAGGAATGGGAGAGAGAGAGTCCTCACAAATCTAAATCAAAAACCTATCAACTACAAAATTCATCACAAATCTAACATGCAACCTCAAATGCAGGGAACTCACACAGGACAAATCAAAAACCTGTCACAAAGAACCCTTCATACCCATCATACCACATGAAACCCCATTTTAAGAAAAAAATAAATAAATTAAGGGACCTGATCTGGAGTCTCATGACTCTCCCTATTCCTCATATTTCAGAGTTTTAGTTAATTACCAAACAAATGGACCTTTGATACACAACAAAAGTCGGTTATACTGTGCTGCTGAGCGATTGGAGAGAGAGAAAGAGAGGGGGAGAGGGAGGTACCTGGGCTGAGCTGTGTTGATCGCCGCTGAGAACGTTGTGTTGATCGCCGCTGTGTTGAGCCATGACAGAGGAGTGAGAGGCTGAACCCGGCCGCTGTGTTGTGAGAAGGATTGGTTGAGAGAGAGAAAATGGGTTTACTATGAGGCGTTGAAGAAGAGTGACTGGGTAGTTGTGTTGGGTGACTGGGTAGCTATGTTGAGCCATGAGCCATGGCAGAAGGGTGTGAGGTGACTGGACTAGTGAACAATCTGAATGTAATTTGGGCGGGAATTTTTTTTTATGTGAGATGAAATGTGGGCCATTAGATCCACTTTAAAGAATTAAATAAATCTAGACCGTTGAATTAAAATTAGAATTAATCTGAACCGTTCTTGTGCTTTCCCAAATGAATTTAAATTAAATTAAATTTTGAAGTGGAGAAAGATTCAAATTAGGTTCTATCTTATTATTATAGATGTGATTTGAAGGAATTTTATTTGTTTGTTATTCTAATATTTGAGTGCATAATGTTTTTTTTTATACCCATTAATATCTTTACCTCTATGTAAATGGGTTACAGTTACTTTCATGTATTTGTTTGATTTCTCATATTGATGAGTTACATTTGTTCTGTAAATTTGTACAAATGATGCCACCAATTAGTTCTTTTTTTTTCTTTTTCTATTTTTTGATTTGCAATTTTTTTTCATTATAGTACCATTGTTTTAAAGATGTAGTTTAAATTTTCATCTTAGTGTTTATTTATATTCAATACTTAATTTTTTCGTGTCTAGGCTTAATGTTCGATTTTTTAAAATTGCAAACTGCCTTCAAGCATGAGTTATCGCTAGTATATATATATTATGTATACATTAATTTCATATAAAAATTCAATGATAAAATATGTATTTATGTATATATTTTAAAAATAAATTTAACAATAAAAATTAAAAATTAAATTAAAATTAAAAAATATATATTTTTCCATCTTAACTAGGGGTCAAAATTTTCAACTTAACACAATAACACGACCTCAACTCAACACAAACTTTATGAAACAAACTAGATTATATCTCGACACGAACTTAGAACCTTCCACGTATAAAAAGTCACATGATCTGATCAGATAAACTGTGACTGAACTTAGTTCAAGTCATTTATTGTCACGTATGAAAATGGAAAATGGAATATGGAAAACACCCCTTCCCCTCCAGATTGCGAGAATATGCTGGGATTGCTGATATAAGCATCTATTACTCCATTTAATGTGCATCATGCATACTGATACCGGATAAGACTACACTATCCAAAAGAGATTTCTTTTTAAAATTTATACTTGTTTTTTTAAATTATTATCTTTTTTGTGTCAAGATATAATAAATTATAATCAAATTAGGATTGAAATAGTTAGGGTCGATCTTAATAGTTTAGGAATCTAATTAAAAGTGAAAAAGAAACCAACCTAATGTTTAAACTCACAATAAATGTAATGATTAAATTGAATTAAGTCGTTGATTAAGTTCTCAAATTAAGCCGATAATAATCTTCTATCTTAATTTTATGCTACTTATATTTAATAGTTGAAATCAAAGCCACCAGCAGCTCCGCAGCTTCTAATTCCACATTCACAATCGCAAAGAAATCTTGCATTAAAATGCGTGTCGGTGGTGCAAAATGCTTGTTAGCTGTCTCTAATAGTGCTAGTTTTGTTTAAGAATGAAGCTATACAACGTCAACATTTTGAGCTACAAGTCTTTAATCATCTTTCTTAAAGCCAAGAACTACAAGTCTGTCCAATTCTTTTGGAGGGACAAAAACCAGCATTCTTAACACAGCTGAAACCATTCTACGACATGTTTCACATTTACTAACACCAGGTCTTATGAACAATCATATCAAAAAGCAATCAAACTGCTACATCACAATGCAAATCACAAGGACAAAAACCCATCGCTTGGATTCAGTACACACATGACACAGCTACATCTTCAGGTTTTCTGTTTAAAAGCTTCTACCCATAACATCAACCTTGCCTATTATACATTCACATTCGTTTCCATACCATGGGTAATTGTGACGGAGTTAACAAAAAAAAGTTACACTCAATGTGCTTTTTTTTTTTTTTTGTTGCTTCATGTAAAAATCAAAGGTCCAATTTGTTTTAAAGTGAAATCCTCAAGATCACATAGAGAGAGAACCAATAAAACAATCAACAGACTCACAAACAGGAGGAGATTTGAAAGCCCAAGAAACAAGAACCCTCACCAAATTAGAAATGAACCTTATACACAATCTTATATCTTACAGAATATGCACGTTGTGAGATATTAGAAAGAATTGGTGAAAAAAAATCCTCCATCAACTTCTAAAACCGAATGCAGACCACTTCCTTAAAGCCTCTTTCCTCGTCCTTTTAGTATTGGAGTCAATGAGGTTTTCAAGTGATTTTGCTTTTTTGTTTCGAGACCTGCCTGCTTCTTTCAAGAGCTCAGCTAGTCGTTTCTTCTCTTCATCAAATTCGGGATTTGATGTTCCAAGCTTCTCTTCTCTCAGTTTAAGAACATAATCCAAAATCTCGATCGCATCTTCAACTCTGTAATAGTGGAGTATGCAATAAGAAAACGTGTTAAACATCAGTGGAATGGATATATGCAAGGTTTAGTTACCATTTTGATATAATTAATCCTACTTTTGATAGCATATCAAACAAACCCATATGTTATGAACACATACTTCCAAGTGCCAACAGTATGATGAAGGTCGTAAGCAGTACCATGTTACATTTATTCATTATGAAGCCGCATTCAACCAGCCACAAGCCACACACGCCAAGAGTATCGATAGAACCAAAAAATAATCAAAGCCCCATATTTTATCAAAATTATAGGCAAAGAATTTGAAATATAATCCGAAAGTATCCACATCCCCATATTTTATGTAAAACGTTAATATTAAGTTTCAAACAAATCGAGAATGAGGAGACCAATCTTTCACTTGGAAGGATCTAAAAAATCCTAGTCAAGCACTTCTAATGTCTGTGAACCATAAGAGTCAATGAAGAAACGCTGCAAACTGAAGCATTTGCAAATGCTGGGGTCCAGTTTCTCTACCATCAGAATTCAGACAATTACAATGCAAAGATGATAGCATCAAGATCTAGAACATGCTGCCACCATTTTCCTCACAACATCAATATTCAATCGGTAGGATAATAAGGTGGGTCGTTTTTTATTTTGGGGGGGAGAGTAAATGTTGAATTGATGAATTCCATAATGGAGATGTAAATCAAATACCATTCCAATGTGAAAAATGTAGAGACAACATTCAACCACTAAGAGCTCAAGAAAAAGTCTATGTAATAAAGCTTGGAAAAGATTACCTTCCCAGAGCGTCATAAATTGCAGCAAGGTTGGCATATGCACCAAGGGTATCTTGATGACATGGGCCACACTCCTGTTCCAGTATTTCTCTAGCTTCTTCAAACAACTCAGCAGCCTCATCAATCTTGAACAACTGTACACAAGCCAAACCCATCTGGTTCAACACAACTCCAAAGAAAGCCGATTTCCTTTCACCACTGGCCCTAAGTTCTGATACAGCACTCTGAAAAGAACTCCATGCTTCCTGGTACCTCCCAACCATGTAGAACATAACTCCCATCCGTGCTTCTATTCCTGCAATTATACTTTGCTGCCCTGGTTTATCCTCCAACAGTTTCATTGCCTTTTGCAAGAGTTTCAAAGCCTCATCAGGTTCATTGAAAGATTCATAAATAGCCGAGATTTCAGTCATTCCACTAGCAATCTCTTCTACAGTGGTTCCAGGCACAGGTTTTGCATATATTCTCAACGCATTTTCACAATAAGATCTGGACTCTCGAAGCTTTCCTGTCTTGTAGTATAAGTCAGCAAGCCGTACAAAAACAGAGGCAACTAAAGAGTGGTTGTCGCCTTTTGATGATTTGAAGACAGTGAGTGCTTTCTGGTAGGAAAACACAGCCTCGTCGAAGCGAGAGAGGGACAAGTAGATATTGCCGATGCTAACATCAATAGCAGCAACCTCAGCATCTTGTCCATTGGCAATCATTGACATGCTGGAAAGTACAAGGTGTTCGAGAGCTGATTCATAATCTCCTTTAGCGTCACATATGAGGGCCATCAACCGGCGGTCAGCTGCTTCTTCCAGAGATGCCGGCAGACTGTGCACCCGGTGGATTTCAAGGGTTCTCTTGCACAAGTTTTCAGCTTCATCAAATTGCATTGATTGAACATAGGCCTCAGCCAAGTATCTGCCATTTTCAACATAGTTGTTTTGAATCAGGTGAGTTCAAGAACTTAAAGTGTACAACTAAAAAGTTGCCAAGATCCAACATGGAAATTTAAGAGAACTATGGTTGTTCAGAAACATATAGAAGGTGTTGATGTTGGATGGAAGATATCAGGGTTTTGATTTGAAATCTATGATGCAAAATCTCTGAAACCACTAGGTAGATACATCAAATGCCAGAATTCCAATTGACATGGAGCCATGGATTACATCAGTGTTGTGCATAGAGCATCTACAGGAGCTATAGAAAATCATAATTCTCCCACAGAAGAAGACAGAGGAAATCAGAGTCATGTGAATCAAATGGATCAAATTTTAAGCATTCTGAACGACACAATTTATTTTGAGAACCTGCCACTAATTTGACACATTCTTTGTCTAGATGGCCAAGTCAAAGCTAAAATCCACCTGCCCTAGATTAACACCTCTGCTTTTCACTGATGATGCTTTGATTTCCTCTTCGCGATAAGATGCTTTGTTTCTCTCTACACCTCTTGTTCATGATGGCCAAGTTACATAACAAGCTTTGCAAAAATGTTGCAATGCTTTTGGCCAACAATTGAATTGCAACAAATCATGTCTATTTTTCAGCAAAATTACCCCCTCTTAAGATTAAGAGATTACAACTCCGCTGGGGGTAACTGAAATTTAAGAGACTCAAACTATCTGGTATCGCCACAAATCGGGAGTTTATGGTCTCTGTGGACCAATCTCAGATTTTGCTACCTGATAGTTAGCTCTCTATTTGGCTTTCGTTGTAACTTTCTTTTCCTATCAATGTAAATAAGGATATGTGGCCTAGAAAGAGAAAAAAAAAAAATCACACCCTTGAAAATTTCAACTTCTTTCATTAATCCATCCACAAAGATAAGTTTACTACATTCAAACTCTAGATGAGACGCAGTAAATCATTTGATTTCCCACAAAATGTTTAAAGCCTTATTTCCTTTCTTTAATGAAATGTTATAATACTACGAGTTATCAGAGAACTATCACAATGTATAATACTGTTTGCTTTCACTGAAACAAAAATTCAAGTCTTATCCGCATCACTTTCCCGCTGTAATTTCCACCAATGTATCGAAGTTCACAAAAACAAATAGATAAAACGATAACAGCACTCTGCTTAAAGAATAAAACAAGCGGTAAAATGGACAATTGGATTTTACCTGCAAGTCTCTGCAACTCTCGGATCTGTATCGCCCAAAGCCTCAATTTGTATCTTCAGCCCCTCTTTATAACACTCAATCGATCGATCCAACTGTCCAAGCATAGAATGCGCATCACCGAGCTGCATATATCCCGAAAACGCGGCGAGAGCGTGATCCGCACCACTCGACACATCCGGAACTCTGATTGCCCTCTCGAGCACCGGAATCGCCTCCTCCAACCTCCCCAAACTGCAATAAATCGCTGCCACAACGTGCAAACTCATCGCTAAGTCCAAGCTCGGTTCATTAGCCACAGCACATCGCTCAAACGATTTCGAGGCTCGAAGCGCGTAGTCCAATGCCTTGGCAGGTCCATCGCCGGAGGCAATTGTGTCACGCGCGAGTTTGAGAAGGAATGGGCCGAGATCGGGGTTGTCCAGCGACGATTCGTCTGCAACTACCGGTATTTCCGGAGATTTCTTCTTCCCGGAGCTCCGATCTGGTGACGGTTTCGCCCGTGAGGCGGATGGAGATGGTGAGGGAGGTCGTCGAGGAGCTGGCGACGGCGTTTTGGGGTTTACGGGTTCGGATCGTTCGGTATTGGGTCGCATCTGGTTGTGATTTTCGTCGGGAAATGTGATTCGGAGCGGCGGAGCTTCCGGTGGTGTTTTTACTGAAACCAAGCCCGGCATGGTGATTGGTGTGGAGTCCAAATGCTGTACCAGATGTGATTACTCGATATACAATGTGAGTGTGTGAAGTTTATGAAGAGAGCGATGGTAAGAGAATGATGACGAAGGAAATAATGGAGACATTAACGGAGGATTAGAACTGGCCACCCACCATACTCAAGTTTGGATAATTTGGTTGTGTTGGTGAATGCAGTGGGGAACACAACGGATAGAGGGGACGGGTGAGGCAGGTAGGAGAGATGCTCAGTGAAGGCAGGACAGGACTATCAGGAGAGAAGTGTGGTGTGATCTATCCAGGTCAGATGGGGCCCATGTTGTGGTGGGCCCATAGTGAGGTCTGATCATGATTTCACAACCATGATGGCTCATAATTAGACAGTAAAAGGTATACCTTCCGTGAGAGGAGGGCAATCTCATTTGTTCATCTGAATTTTTTAACACTTTTTTTATTAAAAGAAAGAAAGAATCTCCGTTAGTTAAATAAAATAGTCAATTAATTAATGAATTATTGTTATTATGCAAAATAGCTTTAGAAAAACTTCATTTACACCACCTTCTGTTTAAGTTTAAATTTAATGACCCCTTTTCTGATTCTAAAATTTCATTTCAACTCCTAGTTTATTCTTTTAAATCAAAGACACCCTTTTAAAGGTAATTTTTAATTATGTCAGTATAAAAAGTTACTATTTGACTATAAATTTTTTGAAAAATGTCAAAATTATCATTTCTTATGTAAATATACTAAAATGTCCTCAACTTTTTTACCACTATATATATCACACTTTTTGTTATTTGTGAAGATCCAAAACGGTCTAAGGTTGCTAGAAGACATAAAGGATTGAAGTCAGTCATTATGCTTTAACTCGTTCTCTACAGTGATCGATTACTACCTAAGTTGGTAAAATATATATATTTTTTTTTCTTACAGATTTGTAAATATTTTGTATACATATTTTTTTAAAAAAATTCATGTAGTTTTTTTTTTAAAAAAAATTTATGCAGATATTTTTAATTTTTTTCATGCAATTTTTTTAATTTTTTTCATGCAATTTTTTTTCATCCAAAACAACCGTTAGATTTTTAAGTTATGAAATTCATTTTCTTATAAGTTATTGGGTAAGAAATACACTTTTCAATTTCTTATTTTCTTATACTACATAAATTCCTTCTTTGATATGTTTTTTTATTGTTCGTTATAAATTACAAGGTTTTAAATTTATTTTAAAGATAAAAATAAATTTTTTATAATAAAATTACAATCGATAAAGTCAATGTCAAAATTTTATCAATTTCTAACTTCTCTGCTATTATCTGTCATCCATAACGTCACCACCTGGCCTCTCTTCATACATCACCCTTCATATATAAATTTTAAATATTATTTGATAAAATGTAATATTAATTAAATAAATTTGGTTTTAATATGATAAATTTAAATATTAAATTTGGTTTTAATATGATAAATTTAAATATTAATTTAGTTTTAATTTGATAAAATTAAATATTGATTCAGTATTGATTTGATAAAATTTAATGTTAATTGAATAAATTTAAAATTGTTTTAATGAAATTGAATGTTCATTTGGTGTTTAATTAAATAACTGATATTAATTTGATAAGGTTAAATATTAAATTAATAAAATTTAATATTTTATTTAATATATTAATTTTAATTTAATAAAATTAAATATCAATTTTGTGTGGATTTAATAAAATTTAATAATAAATTAATGTTAAATTAAACAAATAATATTAATTTGATGAAATAAAATATGAAATTAATATAATTAAATGCTAATTTGATAAAATTAAATATTAATTTGTATTGATTTGATGAGATAGAATGTTAATTTAGTTTAAATTAAATAAATGATATTAATTTGATAAAATTAAATATTAAATTGATGAATCTAAAAGTTAATATAATAAAACTAAAAAGGAGAATATTGAAATTTTAGAATCAGTAGAACGTATTGTTAAAGATAGGTTTATTTACAGGGAGTATTGTTGAAGTTATGTCTATTTACAAATAGATGTTATTGCAGTTATGTTTATTTATAAAGGGTGTGGATAAAATTTACTCTATAAAATATTTTGAAATATTTTTTGTAAAATAACAATCCTCGTTAATGCTGTAATCCGACAAACATTAATAAGGGATGACGGTGAAATTTCAGAATCAGGAAAGGGTGTTATTAAATTTAGACTTAATTACATAGAGTGTGAATGAAATTATTTCAATTGCATTTTTATGATTTCTAATAAATTTATATAGAAAATAAGAAGTTGTTTATTGAAGAAACGATTTGAATCCAGGTTTAGTAATTTTAACGGTTGATATTGATAGCTTCAAGGGTATTAAAAAAATAGTCAAAGGATATGCCAGATTGACAGGTACGTGTGCTGATAGTGGGACCAATTTACGTTGTTGCATCAGACTTCCGTCGTAAGAAAGAATAATAATTAATTAAAAGTAATGTTAGATAGATTTAAAAATTAAATTTGATAATTTTAATTATTGAATAAGTAGTGAGTTTCAATAAATGTTGGGACCTACAGTAAATTCAATGATTGAGATTATCAAGTCTAATTTTTTAGTCTACTTTTTAAATTTATATAGCATTGCTTATTAATTAATTGCCACGACAAATCCAATACTGGTATTTTCCTATCTTCGTCAACGTTTGAACATCAGCCAGAGAGTTTTCAATATATTTTATTTTTAAATTAATTTTTTTATTGACATATTATCAATAATTAATGAGTGAAAAATTTACTTATATATAATAGGTCCTTCTTAATACATGGTGGATGCTATGCCGACAAAGAAATTTAAAAAAAAATGTATTAAAAATGATCTCACTCCCTTTCTTTGCATCATCCGGATCTTTCTGGTCTTGCATTTCCCTTTTGACTCACCAGTGTCTGTCTCACCCTCCTAAACTCGATTCACTTAATATGGTTAATCAAAACTTGGTTTTGCTTGATTACTTCAGTGCTTACTGTGCCTCTGTCTTGAGGTTCGTTTGTCAATTCAATTCTATGCCTCATTCTTTTGCCAATAGAATTGAATTAACTGTTTTAATACAACACCCGAGACATCATCAAAACTGTTTAAAAAAGGAGGAAGGTGCATTATGGAACGAGCCACTGACACAGATGACAAACCGTTCCGTCGACAGATTTCGTATGAGTCTACAGCCCCGATGACATGCTCCAAATCAGTATGAGAATAGCAGTTCCTGTAGAGATCACAGTATTATATAGAACAAACAACTCATGAATTCAGTAAAATCTTGCACCGATCCCTTGTGAAGATGTCGTACCATTGAATTCAGGCCACAGGATTGAAACATATATGGATAAAAATAATAAATAATAATAAAATAAAATAAAATAAAGCAATCTGGAGAATGTAACAGATCAAGAAAGTAATTTATCAGCATTCGGCAATTTACAGTAACATATTAAGCCATCCATTATCACAATATCAGGACGGCAATGCCATACAACACATTAAGTTATTATTTCCAAAAATGAATAATCAGTACAGAATGCACAACACGGGCTGAATCAGATACACACATCTACTGGCGGCCGTAGATATATAAATCGGCATTTGGGTTTGCAAATGTAGTGAAGCCTCTTTTTAATATGCAAGAACTGCTCCACTAACAGCAGCTGGTGTAGAAGACAGCCATATATCACTTCCTCCAAGATCTAGCTTGGCTCGAAAAATATTGGCATCAGCCATTTGTCTCACAAAACGAGTAAAACTAACCCAATTATGATATTCAAACAAGTTTTTGTCCATTCTATTGAAGTTGAAAGAGAAGGATGGCCTTTCTAGACCATCTGAGTAAAATTTTGACATCTTTAGCACCTGTTTGAACGATTCATCATCCAACCCTGTTGCAGAATTTTCCCCTTCCAGGGGTATATCACAAATCCGTGCAGCCAGAAGAAGTTGTTTAAGAAATCCTTCTGGACTGCTGACAGGGTTCATCTGCTGTTCTTGTGCATCTTGCATCTCAAAACATTTACAACACATGGTAAATCCATACCTTCCAAAAATGCGAGCAATTGGTAGGTAGCCATCTCTGATTGAAGTATTGTAATAACCAGCTGTCAACTCAGATGGATGAGATTGTGTGCCATAATGCCAGTGGATTCCAGCCACTTTTCCTGATGTGCTAACTTCAGTACCCCGAAAAATGGTCTCTGTTTCCTGGCATATCCTCTCTGCATGCAGAAGCAGCATCCCCGAGTACCATTCAAGGAAGAACTCGCCGTAGGGTGTATTCCAAGAACCATCACTTTTGAAAAATTCAGTACTTTCTGGATCCTGCCCCAAGTTGCCAGCACCAATAGGGCCCCCATTTACCCATTCACGCATTCCAATCTCCCGGGCACAAGCATTCAAAGATGCAAGCATATACTGGGAAGAAGACATAATAATACATTCAAATCATACGAATATAGTATAAACTTAAATGTCCACGAAGGCAATAACAAATGGTGAAAGCAAAAGATTAGAAAAATGATTGTAGCTTAATGAAGTGCAGCTGAGTTCTATATACTTTATCATAGCATTGGAACTCTCCAAGTTCACGAGATCGCCAAGCCCTAGTTAGCTTCTGAGAAGGACATGAAGGGTATCTTAATTCACCAGCAGGACCCATTCCAACTTGGATCCCCTTCAAATGTCACAAGAAACATCATGAAAACAAGATTACAATACTAAGCAATGTACATGTATGACTAGAAATACTATACTAATCAGCTTACAGTTATGATGCCACCAAGAAATAATCTGAAAGTGTTTCTAAAGTTTTTCATAAAATCTGCGTAGGCTTGGATTGGTGATCGTCCATGCAGAACAGGAAGAATGTCACATCCTAGGGAAAGATATTCCATATTTCTTCTTCCAAACCTGTCAGAATATGCTAAATCTGAATCTTTATCGATTTCTTTAAGCACCCACTGGGGAAGAGGAATCCTTGAGAACAGAAGAGGCCAAAAGTTAGAAATGATAACACATGAAACCAGAGGGTTGAAAATCATAAGGTGAATGAAACACTCAAAGAGTTTGGTTTTGAAGCCAAGTCATGTACCTTATAAACAAAACTCAAGGCCAAACATGACTTGAATCTTAGTCAAAGTCTAAACTAGCATATCATGAAACAGGTTGACTTGACCAAATATGTAGCTGGTATACTCTTGTAACGATGTAGACAAAACTAAGCTGTACACTTGTCTGCGTGTGGGTGCGGGTTAAATGCTTCGTATTCTGGAGTTGTCAATCTATTACCTATTTTGTTGTCCTCCAATTACATATTCCTTGTTATGGAGTTGTCAATCTGTTAGCCATTTTGTCGTCCTCTTATTTTTATGTCCATTGTCAATCCTACCTAATACATGAACTCAAATTTTGTTGGTATTTATATCATTTGCATATGGTATTGTTGGTTTTAGCTTCCAATTTTTTATATAGTCATCCCTATAATGATCTAAACACAGGTGAGATAGTACTATTTTCTTCAATTCAAAATTAATCAATGGTATATGTTTCTCTTAGATTTTCAGTCACGGAAAAACATGCTGGTTCAAGGGTGATATTTTCTTGATCTCTTCCACTTTTTATACAGAGAATCCAAAACTGTATAATTAGACATCTTTTCATTAGGCTAAATGACAAGCAAACAAATTTGATAAAGGGAAGATGAAGTATTGAAAAGTCACAATAAGGAGGAAAGGAGAGTTAACGGAGACTAAAAGAATTGCTAGGGGAGAAGAAAACAAAGAGAGAAGGACCTTAGTATAGACAAATGAGGAAATGTCATGGAAGCACATAAAAATATGACAACATTTGTTAACTGATCCACCTAAACTCCATGGCCACACTAAAAGCTAGTCTAGTAGTGGCATATATTTGCCGAGAGCCATTCATGAGTTTCTTAATCTGAAAAGCTGAAGCTTCCACCATTCTGTAAGTAGTAGCTTCATCTTCAGCTTAATAGACAAACATTTCAAAACCTCTAAGCAAACCAACAATTGCGATTTAACAATGCTTCAGACCCAAAAAAAAATTTTAAAAAAATGATATCACAATGCTAAAATTTGATAAATTAGTTTCTGTCATATGACACACTTGTTATGAAATATCACTTTGTGCTTCCCCAAGAGCTCGATTTGCACTGGACCTTAATATACCACAGTCAGCTACAACATGATATATTAGGGTGGAAAAAAGGAAGGAAATAAGAGACATATGAACAACATGCAAAAATCAATACATTTATATATGATAATCCCAAAAACCAATAACTCATAGTCATAGTCATATTTATCAAAGTTATATCGTAATGATTAATTCATTGAAAACTCTTCTTTTCTGATTTAAAAAAAACTCCAATTCTTATTGTAAGGAATTACTGTAAAAGTACCTACATGTGGAATGTAAAGATAGTACCCAGATTACTGTACAGTAAGTCAATGCGGTGGATTGATTTTCCTATCACAGCTTCCTAGACTTGCATTTCCCAGATACCAAACTGAGCCTAAATGTGCTTATTATAATCAGTTAGAGACCTCTTAACATGCACTCAGCACACCAAATCAGCAATAACTCGGGTAAAACATTCTGCATCAATTAAGCAAAATTAGGATGACATTAAGCCCCTCTTTCTTTTTTTAAAATAGTAGGTGAATATTACATACTCTCTCTCTCTACCAGCCCTTGAACCCACAACCAAGTGGTTGAAATTTGAGGTCCACAACCACCAAGCTAGAAGGAAGGCCGGTCAAACAACAAGATATTCAAACCAATCGCGGATAGTATAAATCACAAATTCAGAATAAAACCAACCAGGAAGGATCGCTAGGCTGTGATCCACACTGATGAAACGCCATGACAGCACGAACTTTCAACCCGTACCGTTTCGCCAAGGCCACGATCTCCAAATACCCCTGCCAATTGTAAATCCTAGGCGAATCCCTCTCCACCAGCCCCCACCACACCTCCATCACCACTCCCTCGACTCCCGCCGCTGCTAACGCCCTAAAAGACGTTGCCATCGCCTTTTTCCTCTTCATCATCCCCGAAGAAGGGCTCAAAACATCCACCGGCAGAGTCACGAAAACTGGGGAGCCTTTCCGGATACTGTGATTCGAGACTCCGTGTTGAAGCTCGTCCTGTAGATCGCCATTATCGGGAGAGACAAAGCCATTGGAAGGCGTTGACGAATTGAGGCGAGATGAGATAGTTAGTCGCCGAGTAGGAGGGCAAGTTTTGCGGAATTGGAGAGATGAGAACCGGAGGAACTGAGTTGGCCGGTTCCGGGAACAGCAGAAGGAGGCTGAGAAGTTTGGAGCAGAGGGCGATGCGATCGCCATTATCGTTGAAAAAATTAGGGTTAGGGTTAGAGTTCGAAATGCTTATATATGTTACAGTTTATTTGTGTTTGTGTCAGAGAAAAAGAGAAAGTGAAGATTGGGGGCGTGGTCTGGAAGGGAGTGGTGTGAATTGTGTGTGTGATTCCTAGCAAGTTACGAAACGAGGTTCAAATGACTTACAAAAAAAAAAAAAAAAAGAGGTTCAAATAAATGTGCGCATAGTTTTCAGCTGAAAATAAATTGCAGGATATCGTAATTGATTTAAACTCTGCTCTACCCAATACTCCTATTTTATTTTTCTTTTAATTATTTATAACTTCATTTTTAACTATATTTAGTCCCATTAATATTTATAGGGTCAATTATAAATTGCTCCCTTCACCTTTAAATGTTATTTCAATTAGCTCCCTTAGGTTTTAATTTTAAAGAATTTACCCACTTTTATTTTGAACCTTTTTCGATTAACTATTTTCGTTAATTTTTATCCTTCAAAATTGACATATATTAGTCAGTCCCATGACATACAAGTGATTACTAACTAGCTGAAATGAAAATATTGCCCCCTTCCCACACAATCCCCCCATCTCTCCGTTGAACCCTAATCTTCCTTTCTCTAGTCGCAAATTTATATCTCTCTCACACAAAGTGAAACTCCCTTGTTAAATTCTTATTCCTTTGCTTTGAAGATAAGCCAATTGGAGTTCAAGATAAGAGATGAATTAATATGTATTGTGAAACAAATAAGAAATTTTGTTATTTGTGATGATTTGAGGGTTGCGGGTAGAAGTATGTGGTGTTTGTGTTGGTTGTCTTGGTTTAGGTAGTTTCTCTTGAGGGGAAAGTGTGAGGTGATAATGGGTGGTGACGAGTTGTGTTAATGATTTGTTTAAGTTATCTATGTGGTGGTGATGGCTAATTTTGAGTGATGTTAGGTTGGTAGACGAATGTTTTGCGTTTTATTTTATTGTTTTAAGAATATAATTTTTTGATTTTTGGATTAGGGAAATAATGTTACAAGTTGAGGGCATAAATGCACTTTCACATTTCAATCAGTTAATTTAGTAAATTTTAAACTTTGAAGGGATAAATTATCAAAATTTCAAGGGGTTAATTTATAATTAACTCTAATTTATATTTCTTTATAATTATATGTTTCCTTCTCCTTCTTCATATTACTATTTTATAGTCGCTCAGATATAGTTGTGTGAAGAATTGTTGGTTAGCAATTATGAGGCCACATAGCTGGTTCTAATTTGAATGTACGATAAGTAATTTGTTCAATAAATAAATTAAAAAATAAAAAATTGGTCAAGACTCTCTAATCAACGGGTAGGATCCTCCCAAGTCCCAACACAAGATCCGTCCTCGTATTCTCATTGGTCCACGTCATCAAGAATGACGTTAATTTTCACGAACCAACGTGATAAACCGAGGGCCATTGGTCCACGTCATTACAATGACGTGTTCGTTCATTTCAATCTTTTGATCATCAGGTTTAGGCCTTCCACTTTAAGCAGCCGAACACAGAAGCTCTTTCTCTCCCAAATCAGGTTGCTTCAGCATATACATAGGTAAAGGTATAGAGACAGGATTAGAGAAAGTGAGAGAGTGAGAAAGAAACTGTTGAAGCCGGACGGAGTGACAAAGAAGTTGTTGAATTGAGTGAGGTGGTTTTTCTGAAGCCATGGGTGGCTCCTGGAGGCGGAACGGGTCGCTGATCGTACTAGCAATCGTTTTCTTCGGTAACTGCTATTTTATGTCCCTAAATTACAGATCTGAGTGATTCGTTCTCTAATGTGGTTATCTGTGATATTTTTTTTGGCGGTTTTTGTTTTCGTTGGTTATCGACAAATGTATTAGATCAGGAACGTTTTGGCAGATGTAAATTGTTGTTGTTAATGTCATTACATATCTTTCTTGAACGAGTTTGTTAATTTTCTTATGGATATTTAGAGTTTCAGATCTGATATGTATTTCCGATTGCCTTTATGAAATTTGTGCCGTTATGTACATGTAGCGGACAGATTAAGCGATTCATTTAGGTTGAGGTAAAACACCTTACTCTTAATCAACTTTAAAGTTGAGCTGTTGGTTGTGAAGATGCTGTTCTGGTGATCGAGGCAATTATTTTTTTACTTGTAAATAGCGAACACAATTATATTACTACTTGTAAATAGCAAATATCTATCATTGTCAAGGATCTTTGAAATCACATAACTCATTTATTGGAGACAGGTTTTCATTATGAACTAAATCTTTGTAGAGCTTGAAACGAATTTGATTAAGCACAACAAATTTTCAAGGAACGTAATAGAACATGTTTTGGCTGACATACACACCAACAGTTGATATTTGCAATCTGAAAAGAACTCTAATGAACACTTCAGAAGGTTTTTTTTCATTATGAATCAGATCTTTGTTAAATTTGAAGCAATTTGAATAAAGCACGTTTCTGTTGCCATTCAGACATCAGTACACATGTTAATAGAGATTATATGCATGGTTGCCCGTACCACACATGCCTACAACCAGCCAACCATCTGTATGTTTTCAATTGACCTTCATGGCTGAGCAGTGCATGGCAATTCACTAATTGCTGGCAGTCATGCTTTGGAAGAACCATTTCTAGGATCTGATGTACTTATCATGATCATGAAAAAACTCCCTTTGGTTTGTTTTACTAAGCAGTACTATGCAGAGGGTAATTCTGGTTAGTTATTGAAGATGCACACATAGAACTTTAATTTCTGTCGTTACTCAGATTGTAGTTGAATTTTATCACGTTCATGTCCAAATAAACCACATGCATTTACCTGATTTGCTTTTTCATTTTGTCTCAATAAAGGCAGTTATTTTGGCCAAGTAGTTGGGCAATGCATCATATCATTATTTCATTCCGTTTGGTTACTTCTGATTGAACCTATTCCTGAATTGTAATGAAGTAAGTTTTGCATCAATGGCTTCTAATTATGATTTTTTTGGCAATAGGCTGTCTATCAGCAATTTCAATTGCGAAAGAGGAAGCCACCAAGTTGGGAACAGTTATTGGAATTGATCTTGGTACAACCTATTCGTGTGTTGGTGTTTACAAAAATGGTCACGTGGAAATCATAGCTAATGACCAAGGAAACCGAATCACCCCATCATGGGTTGCTTTCACGGACACTGAGAGACTGATTGGTGAGGCTGCCAAGAATCAGGCGGCTGTCAATGCCGAAAGGACCATTTTTGATGTTAAGAGACTTATCGGAAGAAAGTAATGCATCTTTCTCAGCTCGCTTGTAATAGAACATATCAGTTTGTGGGGAAATATAGCTACTAACCTATCTTTCACAGGTTTGACGACAAGGAAGTTCAGAGGGATATGAAGCTTTTTCCGTACAAGATTGTGAATAAAGATGGAAAGCCTTATGTTCAGGTCAATATTAGGGATGGGGAAACTAAGGTCTTCAGCCCTGAGGAGATCAGTGCTATGGTTCTTATCAAGATGAAGGAGACGGCTGAAGCATTCCTTGGCAAGAAAATTAAGGATGCTGTCGTTACAGTTCCTGGTGAGTTGAACTTCAAAAATCTCAACTTGAATATGGCTCAACGCTTTTTTGGAGAGTAACTGCATTGATGTTTTGAGTCTGTGTTGGTACTTTTGTAATGCAATCTGCAGCATACTTCAACGATGCCCAAAGGCAGGCAACCAAGGATGCGGGCATTATTGCTGGACTGAATGTTGCAAGAATTATCAATGAACCAACTGCTGCTGCCATAGCCTACGGGTTGGACAAGAAAGGTGGTGAGAAGAACATCCTTGTTTTTGACCTTGGTGGTGGGACGTTTGATGTCAGTATCTTGACTATCGATAATGGTGTTTTTGAGGTTCTTGCCACAAATGGAGACACTCATCTCGGAGGTAAGAATCTTGCTCGTGCCATCCCTCTATTTGTTTTCTCTTGGACTAGTTTCCACTACTTTGGAAATAAAGTATGGGAAGTAGAAGTAGACACAGAATTGTCCCCAGGCCGGCCCAACCTCATTGTTGATAAAGTTTGGGCTTTAGGCCCCACAATTTGAGTTATATAATTAATCTACATCAAAAATTTAACTTTACACAAAATTTAAGTCCTATAAAAAGGCCTCAAAAAATTTAAGTTGAATCAAAATTTCTAATTTCAATAATTTGGGCTCATGATTCAACCTATAATATTATAAAATCAAAAGTTAAAAAAAAACTAAATGTATAAAAAATTTACTCAAAAGTCAATTTATATTTACCGCACATTTACTCTCTTCTGGTAAATAATAAAAGTAAAAGTTAAAACATCTCTATCGACAACACTGATTCTTCCTCTATCACACACACATATAATAAATAAAAAATAAATTAATTTTTAATATAAAAATAAAAGACCTCATTCAATATTATCGCTTTAGGCCTCAAAATGCATTGGGCCACCCCTGATTGTCCCTCACATCAGCCAAGAGGTCTTGGAATGACTGTAACTAGAGAAAATTTTGTTTGTCAATTTTATGTGTAATTCCCATTTTCTTGCAGGTGAGGATTTTGATCAAAGGGTTATGGAGTATTTCATCAAATTGATCAAGAAAAAGCATGGTAAGGACATTAGCAAGGACTACAGAGCTCTTGGAAAGCTCAGGAGAGAATGTGAGCGTGCTAAGAGAGCCTTGAGCAGCCAGCATCAGGTCCGGGTTGAGATTGAATCTCTTTTTGATGGTATGGATTTCTCTGAACCATTGACCCGAGCACGGTTCGAGGAGTTGAACAATGATCTGTTCAGAAAGACCATGGGACCTGTAAAGAAAGCAATGGAAGATGCTGGGTTGGAGAAGAACAATATTGATGAGATTGTTCTTGTGGGTGGAAGCACTAGGATTCCAAAGGTTCAACAGCTTCTTAAGGACTACTTTGATGGGAAGGAACCCAACAAGGGCGTGAACCCTGATGAGGCAGTTGCTTTTGGTGCTGCTGTTCAAGGGGGCATCTTAAGTGGAGAGGGTGGAGAAGAAACCAAAGGTACTACTTGTTATTGTATCGTTTTGTAGACTACAATTCCGGCATATATAATGTATGTGTTCTGTTGCACGAACAAATTTTTGTAAACCCCATTGACAGTGGATGACTATGTGTGTTGTTATTCTCAATGCAGATATTCTTCTCTTGGACGTGGCACCACTCACCCTAGGAATCGAAACTGTTGGTGGGGTAATGACCAAATTGATTCCTAGGAACACTGTCATCCCAACCAAGAAGTCACAAGTTTTCACTACCTACCAGGATCAGCAGACCACTGTCTCCATTCAGGTACCATAAACTCAAACCAAGAATCTTGTTATGCCCTGTTCATGCTTTGGTTCTCATAAAAGGTGTAGTAGAAATAAATCGATGCTGCCTAAATCTTTAGCTGAGTTGATCTATTTCTTCTGATAACAGGTCTTTGAAGGTGAAAGGAGTCTTACAAAGGACTGCAGGCTGCTTGGAAAATTTGATCTAACTGGAATTCCTCCATCTCCAAGGTTTTTTACATGTCTCACATTGAATTTCTATTAAAAATTGCTTCACCTGCTCTCAGGATTTTAATGAGGATTTGATCCTTCATTTGAACAGGGGAACCCCTCAAATTGAAGTTACATTTGAAGTTGATGCGAATGGTATCTTGAATGTCAAGGCAGAAGACAAGGGCACTGGTAATTCAGAGAAGATTACCATCACCAATGACAAAGGTCGGTTAAGCCAGGAGGAGATTGACCGAATGGTTCAGGAGGCAGAAGAGTTTGCTGAGGAAGACAAAAAGGTGAAGGAGAAGATTGATGCTCGTAACAGCCTTGAGACTTACATCTATAACATGAAGAACCAGGTCAATGAAAAAGACAAGCTTGCTGACAAGCTCGAGTCTGATGAGAAGGAGAAGATCGAGACTGCTGTGAAGGAGGCCCTCGAGTGGCTGGATGACAACCAGAGCGCTGAGAAAGAGGACTATGAAGAGAAGCTCAAAGAGGTAGAAGCTGTATGTAACCCAATCATTACAGCCGTGTATCAAAGATCTGGCGGAGCACCTGGTGGCGGATCAGACGAAGATGATGATTCCCATGATGAATTGTAGGTGAACATTAGAAACTTCTTTGACCACTGGAGAGAGAGAGAGGAGAGAGAGGGCGGCCAAGAACTGGGGGATATAGGATAGGCGAGAAGATTTGGTGTAATTTTTTCTGACGCTTCCGGTTAGGGGGAGAGATTTCCCTTCTTGGCTTGCTCTTTGTTGAGGTGAAGATACCTTCCACGGGATACTTTTGTTCTTAAATTTGTATTTTTGATTCTCAGTTGGGAACTCTTTGATGTTTATAATCCTGCTAATGTACTTTTGATACCGCTTCTGTTTGATTCTCTAGGTGAACATTTGTTACAGACCTGTATAGCTGGTATTTGTTTAGCATGGGTGATGCCCTGCCATGAAAACTCCATAAGATGTTGCCTTTGTTGAACCCCATAGACAATAACTCATTAAGGTCATACCTTTTTTTGTACTTGCACGGCACACGTTGTCAACAGATCATGGCATTAGTGGTTTCTCAGTAGAGGCTTGTTATGGCTAGACGTGTTGATGGTGTGATCCGTTTTGAGGGAGAGTCCAAGTTATTTATCCTAAGGCACCCTTCTTAGCACGATGCACATAATACACTCCCTCTTGAATAAATGCAGTCCCCCACCTCTCTAAGATGCTTAGCGTCTTTCAATTGAAGCTTCAACCCAGAAAAAATTAGGCTTTGTTGAATCAATACAAAATAATCATATAAGACAGCACCTGAAGTGAAAATACACCTTTTTTTCGTTTATATGGACAGATTAAAAATGGAACATGAACATCCAATGCTATAAATAGATTAGCACATCAAAGAGTATAATGTACCAAAACTAGTGAGCTCCATTTAAGCACCTAGCTGTTAATCTGAGACTAAAGCCCAGCTCTTGGATTGCCTGAGCCTGCTGCCACAACTCCCATACCACCATTTGAAGGAACATCCACCTTTTCCTGGTCAGTTGATTTTGTAATAGCAACTTTATCATTATCAAGCTCATGTACAAGTTCATCAATCTTGTGAAATTGATAAGGCCATCTTGCATTGTATAGAAACTGGCGAAGGTCAAATCTATTATCCTCTGGTGAATAACTCTGCATAAAGTGAAATGGGTGTAAGTTTTCCATCAGCCAAAAGAAAAAACGAAATTGTACATCAGAAATTCCTAAGCCGGAAGCATGTAAACTCCTCTAATTTTGTCTCTATGAAATCAAAGTACCTCAGCATGATATGAAGGGGTTAATACAGTCATTTTGTGTCGATTGATGGAATAATACTTGAAGAAATGCTTCACTTTATCAGCCACCTCTGATGGAGTTAATCTTTCACCCCATTTATAGCAGAGATTCTGCAACAAGACAATTACAAGGTAAGGGAAATGGTCAACTTCTACCATATTATTTGCAAAACCACGCATGGTACCACATAAAGATCCTTGGTTTCATGCAGTTTCAAACAAGTTCTACTCTGCAGAGCACCCAATGAAAAAGGACTAGCTATCTTTACTTTGCTTATATTTTTGGGTGACTTCCGATTATGGTTTCAGATTGGCACTTCATAGTCCTCTCTAAGCTTTCTAGAAAATATTAATCAGTTATTCAGTTTAGCTGTAGAGTTATTCAATGATCTGAAGTTGTACATAAAGATGGCTTCACATTAGTTGAAATCTTTTTCCCTGGTAAGTCGGATCACTTGAACGATCCTGATTAATGGGCTTGCCTGCTGACAGGCGATGCGGTAGCCATGCTTTCCCATAAGTGATGGGGCTCCTTCCTGAGAGTCGTAGACTTGGTAAGGACATTGAAACTAACCTTAAACATAGATACAGGGCCACAGCGGAAAATCTTCCGCAACCTTCCATATACTGAGAGTTCCTCATATGTCATTCCCATGTCCACTTCATCCAACTGTTTCATGCAGAATGTAGCATCAGATTACATTAGAGTTTATTTGATATCCTTCATGAAAGCATGTTTGACAGATGCCTGTGCAAAAGGAAAACTCATCAAAACCAGCACTGGAGAATGTGGGCTAAATTATATACCTGGCTGTAATTGGATCTTATAGGCTCCAACTCAGCAGTGGGAGGAGCAGCTTCGATTTCAGCTAAAGATGAGTAGCCAAGATGGGTGGCTGCCCATCGCAAAAATGCTCGAAGATCCTGCTTACTAATACTTCCAATCGGATTTATATCTGCTGAACTGCAATCGTACTGCACCAGAGAGATCAATTACAATCACAAGGAAAAGTCGCTACCAGAGATGAGCTATTAGCCAATTCAACAACATAAAGGTGACTAGAAGTTCCAAAACTAAGGCCTATAATGTCATCTTCAATGTTGACCCAGCAAGTGAAACCATATTTGAGGAAAACGACTAGTAACATTAAAGAGTTGTTTGTTAGACAACCAAAAACCTGTTACATCAAGCATGTAATTTATGCCTCGGAATAACCATTAATTTCTATAATACCTTTGTTAGGTAGCCACGCAGTCCTTCGTCCACATTGGAGCTACCTAAGACCAGATAAAAGCCTGGTTTGTTGTGAACCCATGGCAATAGTGATGCTAGCATAAACGCCAACACCATTCTGATTCGAGCTTGAATGTTTTGCAGTCCTAAGTTTTCAATGTTTGATCCCCCATCTACCTGTAAAAACAGAACCAGGTCAGACACTAGAAGTACAATCACTGGGATTGATCAATAAGAAATTGGCTTCACATCCAGCTGTCCAGCAAAATGTAGTGCATTCAATCCTTGTGAACATGAAGGTCGAACTACAGATCAAACACGTACTGAAATCTACCCGTTTTACCTTATAGCGCGGTCGCTTTCCAGTAAGTGTTTGAAACAATGAGAGCAGGGCAGAAACCACACCATCAATTGAAACATCAAGATGCCACGAACCAATTTCATCTGCCAGCACCTTTGCCCGCATTTTCGTGGCATCAGAACTGTAAGAGACAAATCCTGTTACTCATGGACTGTGCAATGTAAGAATTGAATATAAACTTTCAACGAATGTCTGAAAATGAACATTTTAAATCTAATAAGCTTGGCACAAATGGTATTCTGTCTCCCTGTTTATTTCCAACAACCAATATGTCTCTAGCAACATCTACTCTACAACTTATCAAAGATCTTAGGCTTTCTTGTACCCCATGAAGGGAAAGCAGGTTCGGTTTAGATGGGCAATAGTCTTGCAAGACGACATTTTGCCAAAAGCAAATGATAAATCCGAAGAGAGTTTGCGTATCCAGCTCAAACAATATATATAGCTAGGATAGTGATTAATTTTTCATAGTGTGACACACACAAGAGATGTCCTTAACTAGCGGAGTCCAGTTTGATCTCCAACTAATTTAATGATACACTGCCAAGTTGCATCCATTATTCTGAAGGTTACGCAACAATGAGAAGATACAAGCTTAAGTATATTATGTTAACCTGTGCAAAATAGTTACACTATGAATTTCGTGGGTGACTAGGAGACGCCTTCAAGTTTAAGTCTCAGCTGTAAAACAAGTACACAAGCATATACAAAAGGAAATTGCAACCAAAACACATAAATAATGCTTCCATTCCATATGCTCACCTATTTTCAGATCCCATGAAAACAGTGTAAAATATGCGTTTCGCAAATTCTGTGCTATCAGTAGGAAACTGTCCATTGGTGTAGTGGCCAATTCGTATAGCATCAGCTTTGACTTGTTCATCCCCATTTGCAATTTCTGCATGAATATGCAGCAGTGTCAATTGATCATAATAAGAAAATGCTAGCCAGGATTGATCAGGGTTCTTGAAGTGGAAAGAGGTGCTCTTTTTTGGGCACACCTACTCCCCTTGACGTTTGAAAAATCGTCACATTTGTCTATAGAAACTCTTATTTTCTTTTTTACTCTACTAATTCTATTTCCGAAAAATGACTACCTAATCATTTTTAGGTGACCCATCAAAGTCACCTATTTGATCTTCAACTCATATTTGTTGCCAAAGAGAAAGAGAAAGGACACAAAAGGCTTATTCTTTTATTATCAACGGAAGTAAATTATTAGGTACAGTACTAGAACACTGACAAAAAATGACAGCAAAAAACTGACCTTTTACTACAAGCTGACACATGCAGCCAACAATAGCAGCCACAGAAGAACTATCAGCCCCACCAGAAAGTGGAAGCAAAAATCCAGATGCTCCACTTCTCCTTAGATAGTCCCATAGCCAACAACCTGGTCCAAAAGCTATTTCCTCCTCAGCGGAGTGGTATTTAATCTGCAAACGATTAACTGACTGAATGGAGCCGCAAACATGTACATTGCATGCATATCAATAGCTCATAAAACCATTAAAATTGCCAAATGAAGTTAGTATACCTTATTCTAGATGACATGCAGTTGAAACAGGGAGACTAGCAGATTGAGTTGAAATGCGAGATAACAAATCTCAAAATTCTATATCTACAACTTGTCCTGCAAAGTCTAATTATTTTCTGCATTTGAATTGACACATTAGAGTCCAACACGGTCCTACACATCCTAGGTTTACTGGGTTCAAATTATTCATAACATGCCGTCTCCTTACACATAATTGAGCCATATTTAAGAAGGAAATAATACTTATACCATGTACTTATAATTATAACAAAGGGATATTTAGATGAGATTGCAAATATGGCAACTGGCAAGTGAAGAGAACTTCACATCCTATTGTTAAATTGGCAGATCATATCCAACTTTGGAGAAGTGGGCATTTGCAAGAGGTTTGGCACAACCAATTGGTAAGCCAGTTTGAAGTCTTCAGTATGACAAAAGTGCACGGTAGATATAAGTTTAAAATGATCACAAAACTGAGGAAGCTAGAGCAGTAGAGAATTAAATGCCTTGGGTTTTGACCACCTTTGCCTCACCAAGAACTGACCTTAAGTGGACTTGAAAGGGACATTTGGGAGTTAAAGGACTGGCAAAGTTTGAATGGTACTGCTACTGAGGAAACCTTCTGTTTGCAACTTGCTTGCTCCTGAAAGCTACTTATAGATCCTCTAAGACTTGCAACCTGCCATTTGGCAAATGAGAAGATATTAGAGTCAGAGTCTAAATAGGCAACGCGACAATAAAACCATATTAGTGGACTTTTAAGTATCTTGAATTTAAAATAACGGAATGGATCTCAATTACAGGATTGGTATGCAAATAGATGCACTTTATCAAATTTGTTAACATTACACGGCCCAAGCATATAACAAGAATGCAGTGGTAGAATATGATCCTGCAATGTCAATTCAGTAGACTATGATCTTTTAACTTGAGCGTTAAAGAGTCAAAACAAAAAATTTGATGTTCTTGCTCAGTCTTCTGGACAAAACTAATCCAGTATCCAGAATGAGTTAGGAAGGATATTACAGACCATTCATTGACAGCCATGAATGTTAAGAAATTTAAACCGAGGAAATGAGTGTACTGTCCATGTTTTGGAGTACTCTGCATGTAAAAAAACCACAAAAAAAATGTGGGCCATGGTATGAACAGAAGACAGAACCATAGGTTGACAATTTGCAAGATTTTCCTGTTTCCCATATCATGTGCAGGAGGCTTAAATTGATGACAAGTAGACTAGCTTGAGGAGATAGCATGTCAGGGTTTGTATTGCTCTATTCTTGCATCTTCTAAACCAAAAGTATGCCTTAACATTTTCTCTCGTCAAAATCAACAAGCAGATTTGAGGTGCCTTGTTATATCAAGGTACTAGGGTGAACCTGCATAAAGCATGTTTTTTAGGTGCGGTTAAAACATGAGTGAGTGGTTAAAATATTTACGATGGTTAAAAGGTTATATATAAATAAAAAGAGGTTATTCTGGTGAAAAGGTTAAAATGCAAGTAATAAGATAAGTCGTTAGATTTAAACGATCTAAGCCGTTGCTGTAATTTTCTAAGTCACGAGCTTAAGCAAGATGCTCTGTTTTATTTATATAGATTCCAATACTGTGCAAGAAACGTATACAACAAGTACCAAGGTAGAACATCTTCCCCTTGGCTGACACAGTTATCACAGCAATAACAAAATGAATGTAAAGCGTTTCCATACCGCATCTAGATCAATTTGAGCAACCACCACTTCAACGTCCTTCAAGGAAAATTGTGAGCTTTGAGCAACCAAGTCTCCATTTACAATGACACATGAACATCCATCTGGAACATAAAAAAAAATCTCCTTAATAAATTCAAATTCTTGATTATAGCAACTAATTTAGTAAAAACAACGAGAGGGGACATCAAGACCAGGAATCTAATGGGTGCATCATAAACAAGGAAACACTGGAAAATTTAACATAAGAGACATTTTGTAGTTAGCAATCAAATAGCAACAACTAAATTTGGACGTTGCAAGTCAATTAAAGGTATGTGATCTACCATAATAAAGGCGGCCGCCATCACACCCTTGGTGATTACTATACATGTAAACTCCTCCACGAGTATGTGTAGCTCCTATAAAAGCACGAAGCCTCAGATCAAGCTTTCGTAGTTGGTGGTGACTTCCACTAGCATTCATAAACACTTCGACACCATTTAGTGCAAGTTCAGCATGAGGGGGCATAGGAGTAAAAAGTTCTTCACAAACTTCAGGTGCAACAGCTCTGATGAGAAAATGTATGTGAAAATATTAGGGGAAAAAATAACAAATCGAAATTGTAATCCATTGATGCATATGTCCAATGCTACCCCCAATGTGTGTGGAAGCTAAAGCATGCATCACGGTCATATTCATACAAGTGCAGGACCCATATCACAGAGCCATATGTACACCCATAGCAAATTCTAGAACCATCCCAATGCATAATTTGATCGAACTCATCTAATGCACAAGAAATTGAGGATCCTAAACATAACAAGATCAAAATTTCCATTACAGTCACATAAATAGGGGACTCGCAGCATCGCTGACTGAAAATGAGGGCAGTTTGTGCATATAATGCTAAAAGGTTCGGTATATACCAAATTCAACTCTCCCAGCACCATCAAGCAATGGGGACCAACCTAGGTAATGATCTTTTGTTTTTAAAGATTTCAATATGAAATAGTATGGTGTAGTGACATGATGTTATTGATTCAGTTCAGGAGGATTAAGGCTAGGTTTTCAGCTCAAAGGGGAAAGAAGGTAGTGTCCGCTAAAAGATAAGAACTGTATAAGCAAAGTAAAAGATTAGCAATATCATAATAACATACGTGTCTAGAAATTGAATGTAACCATAGCCAAAAGGCACCGTTTTCTGTAACAAAGCTTCAGCAATTCCACATGGTAGCTGAAAGTCCTCAAGTTGCTCTTTTTGCTTCCATGCAGTAAACCACCGCAGTTCCCTGTAATTACCATCATTTGCAAGCCACATCTTTGGGCGTATCATTATAATTTTTCTGTTTAGACATAATACTTGACAGTTGTAACGCTCCGACCCTTTTATAACAGGCATGCCAATACTACATAATATGCCATCTGTCCAACCACCAAGTAAAATATCTACTAAACACTCCCACCTGCATGTAAAAAACATAAAATGTTACGACAGAAATGGAAAAAAAAAATTCAGAGCCACATACAGGCACTTGACAAAGTCAATAAAAAAGTAAGCCCCATGTCAGTTCTTCAAGTAGGTTGGGAGTAACATTATATATGTAGTTCAGTACTTTAATGTGGATACATAAAGAATGGCGAGATAACATTATTAACTGAAAGATGCTCTAATTAACAGAGAACAAGAATGTGGTACAGCTCTCGAAATTCCAATCTTCCTCTACATAAATTTAACAGATTATATTTGTCAGAATGTTATAGCCAACCACACATTGCAGATACTGTGAATGCTTCGCATTAGCAATGATCTGAATTAAGATATACGGGAAGTCAGAATATCCTTGTAAATCTTTTTTTATGCGAGCATTGTGATCATAAAGCACCTACTATACAATTCAACTACAAATTATCTGGTATTAAAAATACAAGAAAAGCAAAAATAAATTGCAAATACTTGCGAGCAAAAAAAAGACAGAAGTCACTTGTAATTAAACAGAGCAAAAACTGAACTTTACGTACGTTCTCTTTTCCATGAACTTTAGGTCCAAAATCAACAGAATTAACAGTTTTATGAACCAAAAAACAAGAAACCAAACGCAACATCTTGAATGTACGCGCGTATCACAGTAATGCATAGGATACAGAAAGCTGAAGACTCATCATGAATGTGCGAAAGTGCTTACGCGTGAGAAACGGTATCGAGCTCCAAGAAATGGTCTTCACAGCCATAGCCAGTGATTTCGAGCTCAGGACCAAGCCTAATGACAGCACCTTCTGCTTTAGCCCTAGAAATAGATTCCTTGATGTTCTTCATATTGCAATCGAAATCCATCGCCCATTGATTCAAATTGCACGTCGCAACCTTCAACAACCTCATCTTAGACTTGTCGATTTCTTACCTGCAAACAACGCCACTCGTTTAATCACACTGAACGCAAATAACCTCCAATTATGCTTCTATATGCGCGAATATATTCGATTGACGTTACCTTTCTTTCTGCTTCTGCAAGTGGAATGAGGACTGAAGAGTTGCACTTTCCGCTCTCTGGCGGCTGTTAATAGGAATAATTTTGCGCGACAACACGGATCACGAGGTTCAGAGTGAGCGACGTCCACAAGGCAAATGCGACGGTGTGATCGTAGGAATTTATAGGATTCAAATTCGGTGTTGTACGCTATTGCGTAGGGCTAGTGCCCGCTGAACCGTTGGACGGTGTGGATGGATAGTCAGATGAGAGCCTTTGACACGTATGAGAAGGTCAGGCTTGAGTAATACTGGGTTGACGCGTGTTAAAATTGGAATGGCGGTACGGCCAAAGTCAGCGGAATTGGGATGTCCTTGAATTCAAATTATCCAAATTAACTTACCCAAAAAAATAAATAAACAGTTAATCTATTTTTATTTTTATATTTATATTTATGTTACTTATAAATGTCATCCCTCTTCCCCCTCTCCTCCCAAAAAAAGAAAAAAATATATATATATATATAAATGTCTGATAAAAAAAAAATTGATTTACATTTAAAATTTTGAAATAAAAAACAGAAAAAAGATGGACGTACAAAATTTTCAAGGCAAGCTTAGTATTGATACGTACTAAACATTTAAAAATCACGAAGAATCTCAATTAAGCGTCCATCAATCAACATATCAATACAATGACCATTTTATTAATTGATAAATACTTAGTAAATTCAATTAGACTTGATGATACACAAATTGATTGTTGTGCAAAATTAACAGTCAAGTGTATGAACAGGTGGAGTTAATGAGCAATAAATAAAACAATCAATAACAAAGCTGTAAATAAAGAGGCAACACAAAGAATTATAGTGGTTTGGTCTGGGTAACTTATTCCACTTTTGGGAACAACAGCAGTGGCCTGGGTCTTTTATTAATGAATGAAGTCGTCGAAGAGTATTCTTTAGGGGTATTACAATGTCTTTGAGAGAGAGAGAGTAATGGGTGTGGGATGGTGTAGTGTGTGTAGGGATCTCAATACTATGAGAGCATGTCTTCTACATGTAGAGGACTTACATTATACAGGCACACCAAGGCGGTGAGGTAGTGACGTGAGGAAGGGGTCTTCCACTATTTTGGTAAGTATAACCTTAGTAGGAATGGATCTCCGCATCCAGATATTCTCTCGCTCGTGTCTTTATTTCATCGGAGGATGATATTGAGCTGGGCTGATCCTGATCTTGAGCTGGGCTGATCCTGATCTTGAGCTTGGACTTGGAGTGGTGTGGACTTGAACTTGCATTGGAGTGCAGAAGAGGGACAGGAAGGCAAACCATGGACGGTGCCCTCTTGGAGACCACCTGGGTGGCGCCTCCTTAGGGTACCCTTGGGCGGCGCCCACTTGAGCAATGCCCCCCTTTGGGGATACTTAACGTCTTTTGGTTCCTTTGGTGCTTTGGACTCCTTCCTGATGGGTTGACCCAACTTCGATTTGGGCTTTCCTTTGAACTTTTTCTATTTATTTTTATTGGAATTGATCCAGTAAAATTTGGACTCATCATTTGCCCCGAGCCTCTGACTGTTTTGAAAGGAAGGGGTCGTCTTCATCGGAGTGAGTCGAAATTTTCATCGTCTTCAGGACTCTACTATATTGATCGATATCAAATTTTTTTTTTGGCCTGATTAAGCGCCGCCCTTTTTTACTTCTCTTTCTTTTTTTTTTTTTTTTCTTGGTTTGCTGACTCTCTTCTTTCTCTTTTTTTTTCCTATTTTCCTTTGTTGGTTGTCCTGGGCGCCGCCTATGGTCTCTCCCCTTTTCTCTCTCTTTTTTTTTTGTTTTGTCTTTTCTTCCTATCTTGGGCTGTTCTGGTGCCGCCTATGGTCTCTCCCCCTTTCTCTCTCTCTTTTTTTTTTTTGTTCTTACTGTCTTAGGCTGTCCTGGTGCTGCCCTCTGATCTCTCAGACTGCACAGATATTCGGACTGCCTTTCTTTTTTCATTTTTTTTTGTTTCTCCTTGGTTGTTCTGGTGCTACCCTATGATATCTCAGACTACACAAATATTCGGACTGCCTTTTTTTTTTTCCTTCCTAGCTGTCCTGGTGCCGCCCTCTGATCTCTCAGACTGCACAAATATTCAAATTGCCTTTTTTTTTTCCTAGCTGTCCTGGCGTCGCCTGACCTCTAATCTCTCCCCCTTTCCCTTCTTTTTTTTTTAGTCTAACTTCTTCAAGAAGCTGTTCAAGAGGCCACTTCTTCTTCTATTTAAAAGGTCCTTCAATTCTTTACTATTCATTTCCTTATTTCATTCCCTATTCCTGCTTTTCTTTTTCTTTCTCCTTTATTGTTCAAATCAAGACTATGGAGACAAGGGGGCTGAAGAGTCATAGAGAAGAGGAGCCAAGAGGAGGTGGCGCCCAAGGGACTGCCGTGGGTGATGGGGCGCTGGGTCTTGGCGAGGAGCAGCGGGGTGACGTGGCAAAGGTCCTTGTGGGCGGCGCCAGGGGCTTGGGCGACTCCCTTTTGGCCTTTGGTTCTTCAACTCCTTCTCCCAGTGGTGGTTTCGGTGCGGTCTCAACAGCTGGTGCGAGACCCTTTGGGACTATTAGCACGGGATTAGGTACAGGTGAGAAGGCTCCGGACAATCCTTTTTGTAAAGTGGGAGTGACCCGAGGTGTCGGAAGGCAGCAAAGAGGGTCATTAAGAGAGACAGGCGGTGCCTCAAGCACCTCAGGCGGCGTTCATAGTGCACTGGACGGTGCCTCAGGCTCCCCAGTTGATGACTCAAGCATGGTGCAGTCCACCCTTCGCGAGCACAAGAAGCGGTCGATCATCGATTTGGATGATATAAGCTCTCAAGGTATGTTCCCAGTATTCTTTTTACTCTTCTATTCACACCATTACTTTCTTTAGCAATGGGCTGAACTTGTTTTTTGTAGGTATTCGCTCGGGCGAGAAGGAGACTGCTGGAGATCCCGATAGAGGTCTGGTTACTGACAGGGGCGACTATTCCAAGCTAGGCTCTATATTTAGCTCCTTTCAAAGTGATGAAGATATTACGAAGTTAGCTTCCTTGTACCGCATTCCACCTTCGGTACTGTGTCGTCATGCGGAGACTAATGAGTCAGCTTGCAGTGATTCTCTAGATAAGATTGTTCTCTACGAGGGGATATTAGAGGCGGGCCTGAGATTCCTGATTCCTGGGCCCATATGCCGGGTCCTGGAACATTTGTCGTTAGTTCCCAAGAAGCTAGCTTCGAACGGTTTGAGAATATTATTGGCTTTCTTTGCATTATGATGGTTGACACACGAGACTAGTGTTCCTCCGCCGTTTGAGGAGTTCTTGGCCACTTACACACTTCTGGAGAACCCCACTCCTCACTAGTGGTGGTATCAATTTTTTCCAAGGTCGAGGAAGTTTATCACCGGACTTACCTCTAATCTTCATAAGGTGGAAGAAGAAATTCTTCTTTGTTGGAGGCTAGTGGGCTTCTGAGCCTAATCGTAGCCGGGTACCCACCCGATGGAATACCATCCCAAAGGCCAAACAGGGTAAGGTCTTTATCTTTTAACTTTTGCCTTGACCGTCACGTACTTGTTCCTATGGTGCAATTGTCTTCTTGCAGCCCCGTCGTCCCTCACCGTTGAACATGAGAGGTTACTTGAGATGGTCCGTAATAATCCAACTAGGAAGCACTCCGATATTATGTCGTCAGCTGGTTATTTCATGGCTCTTTCGAGGCCAAAGAGGAAAGGTACTTGACTTCTTTTATAGTTCTTTTGGAAAAATTGTGTTGTAGGATTCATAGCTTACATTGGTTTTTCAGGTCCTCTATTTAACAGGTCCATAGTGGAAGAGATACGTGCCTCCAGAACAGTTCCTTCTCCTTCTCCCCCCAAGAGGGCAAGGACCGATGCCCCCAGTTTAGCTGGTCCTATGGAGGCAAAGCTCGGAGGTGTTCCTCCTCTGACTGATATTCCCTTACCCCCCAAGGGGGTGGTTCTAGTGCTGTGGAGGCCGAGGTTCCATTGTCGTGTTCCACTGGGATGGAGGGTCTGTCTAGGTGTCCTTCTCAGGGTGACGCCCGAGCGTCCATGCTACACAACGTGGATTTGGCAAGTGAGAGATTCTATGCCTTCATGACTGGCGTTGAAGTCCAACAGATTGCTTCTTGAGGTCTAGAGGGCGCAATTAAAGCCACTGTAGAGGGCTTTTCCTTGGTACGTCTTACACTCCTGCTTTGTATGTGACTTTCTTTGTCATTCTTTGACTTAGTTCTTCACCTCCTTTTCATATTTGAATGCCAATAGGTGGATGCTGCCTTACCCTATCTTTTCAATAATACCATGGAAATTGGGGATGTAGTCCATGGTCGGGCAATGGAGAGGCAAACACGTGAGGCTGCTTAAGAGCAACTTAGACTTGAGCGATAGACGCGAGAGGACACCGCAAAATTAGCTCAACAGGCACAAGAGGGTGTCGAGAAGCAGTTAGAGCTCGAGCGACAGACCCGAGAGAGTGCTGCTGAACAGTTGAGGCTATCACAGGAGAAGGTAACCCAACTTGAGGCTGACCTTCTGATAGTAGTTAAGAGAGCTACTAGGGCGGAGGCTCAGAGAGATGTTGCGGAGAGGGCCAGGGCCAGCGCTTTCATGAACGGCTACGATGAGTTCAGGAGGAAGGTCTCTATAGTGTTCCCCGCCTATGACTTTTCTAGCTATAAGCCTTACGAAGCCCCTGAGTCTGATGATAAGGACTATGTGAATGGAGGTAGTGAAAGTCACTAGGAGTATGGTACCTTTGCATCTTTTGTTGACATACTATGCCTATCTTTTTTGTAAAAGGTTCATAAACTTGAATGGAATAGACTATGTTTATCTTTTTTGTAAAATGTTCATGACTTGAATGGAATATCTTTTTTGTAAAAGGTTTATGACTTTAAATGAAATACAACTTTTGGAGAAAATGTTGAGAAGTTTTATTTCATAATCCAAAGTGGATATTTGAAGAACAAAATCAACTAACATAAAAAATCAACTAAGATAAACAAGGTAAACAGTCTAAACAGTAGACACCAACTCATGACTCACTGCCCCCAGCTACTGGTAGTATTTCTTTATATGTTCTGCGTTCCATGGATGGGCCAGGATTTTTCCTTCAAAATTCTGGAGTCTGTAGGTACCTGGTCTCACCACCTCT